GTAGGAGGCAGGAAGAATGAGGACCATTAGAAGTGAAGGTGGTTATTTTCTTGGGACTCCTCAGAATCTTCAAAAAACTTAAAAATGTTACACCCACAAGAATGGCCAGAGAGGCCAAATCCAACAACAGCACATATGGGAAGGGCTGGAGCCACAAGGACTGTCACGGTGCTGGTGGGAATACAGAATGGCACCTGTTAGGCAGTTTTAACCAAGCTAGACATACACCTATCATACGACCCAGCATTACTATCCCTAGAAAAGAAATACATATGTCCATCAAAAGATTAATACACAAAAATGCAGAACAGCCTTATTTATAATGACTAAAACTAGAAACAACCCCGGTGTCCATCAACAGGAGACTAGAGAAAGTGTAATATATTTATGTAACAGATAACTACTCCAATAGTAGAACCACTATTCCAACTATGCCAAGAGAAAAAGGCAATGTATGATTACTGTGACAACATGAATGAATTCTTTGTAAATCATATTGTCCAGTGGAAGAATCCAGCCTCAATAGAGCATTCTGGATGATTCCATTTATATGAAGTTTGAGAATAGGCATAGCCTGTCTGTAGTAATAAAAATCAGGATATTAGTTACCTTTGGTAAAGTCAGAAATTAATCTGAAAGGGAAACTTCTTGGGGTAACAGGGATGATATGGGTGATGGTTATGCAGGGGTGTACATTTGCCAAGTATATTGAGCAGTACGCTGAAGAGCTGCACTTTTTATTACCAAATACTAGTTACATCTCACTAAGACACTGTTAGCTAGAAATATTTGTTGCCAAATGAATCAATAAACATAAGGCATAAACAATACACACATAAATAATTTTCAAGTTCATGTGCTAATATGAAGAGAAACAGTTGAATGAACTTTAAAACCAGGAGAGAAAAGTTTACAACTTATCAAAATAGGTAAACTATTATTTGATAAATAAGAAAAATATGTACACAGCCTTTATGAAGCTTCTGCTACAAACTGTTACAGGCATGTTGGATGGACCCTGTAATGATTTCTATTCCAGTTGACTCCAAAGTATAGTGAAACACTTAGCATTTCCTGTTTAAATTATTTTGCTTTATAACTGCTGCCAAAATGCTTACAGACTTTTTGAGTCAATGTGTGTTTCCTTGGAAAGAATGTTTTAGACATCATAATGAAGTTGCATATGAGTTTCAAAATCTATACACAGACCTCAAATAGCCTCACATATTTCACAATAATTTATTAAAGCTAGCAATTAATGATAATTTAGTATTTCATAAGAAAATGTAATTATAAAGTAGATACCACTAGAATTTTGAAAAGTGATTTGGCATATATTTTACCTTATAGTTTTAAATCACAGGTTTTATACTGTTCTATGAATCAATTAATAGAAGTAAATTGTAACAGACATATTTACTAAGAAAAATATAATGAATATTAATGTTAATTTTGTCTCCACATAAGTTTAGCTAAATGTGTCCATTAAAAGAGTTTCTATAAAACTTTCATGGTTCCCCTTACTGGTTTTACTGCTTCCCCTTATTCTTTGATGTAATTATTTCTTATAGAAGTACTATTTCAACTTTATAAAAAACAATGCAGTTGTACAACTCAATGTACCCACCTAATCCTAGTTTCCTCTTAACGGTAACTGTGGCTAATGGCGGTGAAGGTCCTTTCATACTTAAGTGAAGTAAACTCAAACTCTGGCTCTTTTTGTTAGTTACTCTCTTTCTCATACACAAACACACAGATATGTTTATAAACAAACATAAATACATATATTCTTTTCTACTTAAAAATGGGGAAAATTACACATCCTTCTTTTCTCTTTTATTTAACAATCAATGTATCCTGAACTTTGTTTTCATGTTGGATTCCATGTGGTTTATTACTTTTGATGGCTGCATAGAATTTCAATTTATAACAGCACCATAATTTACTCAACTGCTTCTCCTTTTTCAATTGCTTAAAGTATTCAGTGACTACGGCATTTGTGTGTGTGCATGTTTGTATCTGTGCTTGTGTGTGCTGATTGTTGAAGCTTCAACTTTAGTGTTATAGGAGGTGAAGTTTCAGGGCAATTGGTCTCTTGTGCAGCTGGAAATGTTTTGGAAGTCAGAGCATAAAATGAGAGAAAGACCTCAGAAGGAACCAGATTTCCATCAAAGGCATGTGCTTCCCTTCTACAGTGCAGAGTTGTCACTTCCAGTGGCTGCCCAGCCAGGGTCTGTATTTCTTAGTCTCTAATGAAGTAGGCTATGGAATTAGTTCCTGGCAGCGTCAGCCATTTCTGAAACTGTCCCATATAAATATGGGACAGTTTCTTCAAACTGTCCCATATAAATATGGGACAGTTTCTTCTGCCTGCCAGCTGGATGTCAATATTGAAGGCAATGCTAAAAGTCATGGTGCTTAAGAGTCCGTCACCCTGGATCACTGAATGACTATATGGAGAAAAGACCTCCTGCAGACTGGATATTAAGTGTGCAAGAAATTTTCAAGTGTATTTATTTTAGCAATTATCATAATCTTATTTAGAATAGAGGAACAGGATCCATCTATTATGACTGGAGAGAACTGGACATTGTCTGATAATTTTCTAACAATAAACAGGTCTATAGAGAAGCTCCAAGAGAATCTGATTTGCCCTTCTTGTCTTGTGAAATGGATTCTGCTCTAGAGTAAGTCCTTTGAAAGTGGTATATGATATTAAACATTCAAAATGTCTTTTAATGGCGATCTAAAGAGTTATTCCAAAAACAAGAAGCCTGTTATCCCTTTCTGGAATTTCTTCTTTTAATTCCTAATAATGCAGTTCAGAGTAGCCACCATTACAAAGACACATTTATATGAAGGCAACAAGGATATTGTTAAGATGAACCAACTCTGTTAATGTGACTGCACATCCTTTGAGCTTCTATATCTCTATGCTGTAATCTTTACATAATCTATATCTATATCTACACATCTCTATATCCCTGCTAAGCTCTTAGAAGTTTAAAATCAAGTAATTTCTAATTTCATCCATATATTTTAGTGGCTTCAATGATACTCAAAACCTTATAGAAAAATAAGCATTTTTATTCAGATCCATGAAATTTCAGTGGTTGAGGAAATTTCCAGCCAGTTCAATTGTATTTTGAATCAATTATTTTCTTGGAACAGAGTACATTATAAAGAATAAATGAGCTTCAAAACAGTTCCTTTAGGTATTCTTTTTTTTTTTTTATGAAGTCCAGGATGTAAAGAATCTTAAAGCTCCTCCTTAAAAATAATTCAGTTACTCTTCTTTCCCTTAGGATAAAGTACAAACTTCTAAACATGATTTATATGTTCTTATTCAGAGTTTTGCTTACTTCTCTACTCTGTGCTCCTGCCACTAGCATGTTGCATTCTATGTACCAATTACTCTGAATTTCTTTTAGTTTCTCCAGTGCACTGTGTTTTATTTATCTCCTTTGCATGTATAGGTTCTGCTCCAAAGTACTTACCTCCTCCCTGGCCACTCCTATTCCTTAGTTCACTTCTAGTCTCCCTTCAGATCCACACTTATAGATCTGAAGTGTCGCTTATGGACACTAGCTCACTTATGGATCTGAATTGTCTTCCACACAATTTATTCTGATCACTCCCAAGGCCAGATGAAGGGAGCTTCTTATTTCTGCTATCAATACTTTATTCTTTATACTATAATTGATGTTGGGCAGTTAGTGTCCTTAACTTGCAGTAAGTGAGTATCAGTGAGGTTAGGGTGAGTCTTACTACTCACATGAGACTGACAGTCTAATAAAGCACATGAAACATAGTTGGTGCTCAGAAAATATTAATTGAGTGTGGCTAAATCTAAAAAAACTCTTACTATGTTCTGAGTCTATCACAACATATTGACAATGATGTTACTGACCCACCGACCAAAGGAGACTTATCTGAAATATTTTATTCCCTAGAATCACTTGACCAAAAGAACTGAAGTAGTGAAAGAGTTGGGCACGAGGCGTGGCTTTCCTTTGTGCAGTAAATAACTATGTTCAGTTATAGAGTGAACCAAATTCATGACCTTCAACTCAATACTCTTACACTCCAACTAAAACCAACTGAAACAGGGGAATACAGACTATGTAAAAGGATTGGAAAAGATATAAATACAATTCAGAAAACAAATAGACCTCTCTAACTTTGATAGCTTAAGCATACAAGATCTGTTTCTTCTAATCTGGAGATGCAGGGGTGAGATGGGATTCTGCTTTTCCAAGAGCTATCACAGCTCAGCAGTGTACCACTGATTTGGGAATTCCTCTTTGAAATAACATTGGATTTGATCCAGAATATGTCTGAGCTTGTTGGACATTCTGCCCTCTTACAAAGGTTGCTCTTGTCATTAATCTCCCCAGCTCCCATCTTAAATGTGTCTTGTATTTCGAATCATGATCTTCCACCATCACCTTCTTGCCTCAAGCTCCACTGTAGTTTTATTACAGTCAGTGTCCAACCAAGCTGTCCTTCGCATTCCCAGGTATGAGGCATCTGACTGCTACCAGCCCCACTGCCATTATCAATGCTCCTGGCTGACTCAGGCATCAGGATGTGACTCTCAAGTGCCTGTGCCCAGGATGATTTGGAAATGGAGGTTACAGGGGTGGGTTCAGTGAGGACAAGGATGTTTCCCTACCACTATTTCTCTGGCATGCATGATTGCAGCCCAAATAGGGAGACTTGAATAAAATGGCAGAATGGCAATTGAGATATTTCTAAAGACATAGACTGATGTAGAAACAGAAAAGCTCTCAGTTCCACTTTGATACCCTTCCACCTAGGCATTCTCCTTAATGGGCCTGGGCAAGGAGTTGTTGCCAGGGTCAGCCCTCCACAAAGCATTGTGGTAAGAGTCTTCAGTACAAGAGAGGGAATTTTTAAACCCAAAGCATCACTACTTTTTGGCTTATTTACACTGATTCCAGGTACAAATGTCCAACAATCCATGGCTGCTTTCTTACCTTGTGCATCTGATAATATTGCGAGGCACCGACTCCACCCTGCTCCTCTGCAGTCCACAGCACCAAACGCAGAGTCCTTTTGGGACGCAGCCCTAGGAAAAATAATAAAACAAAGTGATTTTTCAAAGTTAATTTTGAATTTTTAAACAACACCAAGGTCCAGTCCCTCCTCTCTATTCTGGAGGCAGGAGAGAATCAGAAGCTCTCATATTCATCTCTTGCTGGTGTGGCTGCCTTTTCAGGGTATGGCCAGCCTGTCAAAGGAGCATGATCAGGGCCGACCTGTAAGGCTGGTTAATGGAGAAAGGGGTCATGACAAATGTTGCCTGTAGGTCAAGAAGTGAGAACCTATATCACATCCTTAACTGGTCAATCTTGTCTGGAAGTACCCAATGGATGGCCAAGTTCATTGGGTTACAAGATGGCATCTAGAAGATGCAGTTAGGAGGACTGTGGGCAAGTCATGGACCTTTCATTGGTTAATTGAACCCAATCATTTGACTCTATAAGACAATTATGTAGGGGATCACATCTGAATCTATATTCACATGGCAGTTGGCTGCCCACACTATTCTGTGAAGCATATGCAATATTTACATTTAGCCATAGTCACTCTCCTCTCCTACTTAAAAATATAAGATCATTGATGAAAATTAACTGGATGAGTATGGCGTTTTATTCACCTTATTACTGCTCAAATAGTTTTGTAGCAATTTTATTGACCTGGAATACAAATTTGTATCTTGAAGTTATTGAGGTGAATGGCAGATCTGGCATGGCTGAAACATTTTTTTGAATGACTAATTCTGCACTACAAGGATGCTCTGTGTCCCAAATTTAAAAAAACTAGTAAGACAATATGCTAACAGTTCTACCTGGTAGCCAAAAATTCAAACCCTTTTCGATTCTAACCTGGTAATATCATTTCTAAGAAACAACAGGCAGAGATCATGATGCTGGGTTAGGTCTTAAAGATTTATTTTTATTTATTTATGCCTACAAGAGCTGGGGTGTAGGCCACAGGTGCGGTGCGGTGAGAGGACTCACCAGAGACAGAGTGGGGAACAGAACAGGCAGACTGACTGAAGTACACTGCTGAGGGGAGCAGCAGGAGAGTCAGGAGAGGTCTGCTGCACCATATGGGTCATCTCCCTGGCCAGGGATCAAACTCATGCTGCAGTGGCTGCGGATAGCTTCACAGTACTGTGCCACCAGGGAGGCCCCCTGGGTTAGATCTTAATAAGAGGTTCCATCTCCTGCCTTTTCACAGGGGAGCAGAGGGAAGGGACGGGATCTACTCTGAGTGGCTGTGAGATGGACACACTGCACATGCCAAGTAAGACCACACACAGGCTGTCCCTCAGGTATGGCCTTTGAGGGAGCAGGTTACGGATGACAAATGCTCCTGGGAAACGCAGCTCTGTGCAGCCTCCTTGGGACCAAGTATTCTTTCATAAGCCTAGTGTATAGGGGCTGGAAAGAAGCTACATTTTCTATTAAACTGAATATTGTTATGAAGCTACTTTACACGTGAGCATTTTAATGTAACTAAAGGAGCACAGGTTTAGGATGCTGGCTGACCTGAATTCCAATTAAAGCCAGGTAATCCATTTCCAAATCCAGTTGCTCAGAAAACCCCTCTGGCATTTTCTTCTAAGTCCATTTAGAATCCAGCTTCTCCCCTCTGTGCCCACTCTGGTCCAAGAGCCCAGCCCCCTTTGCCTGGGTGGCTGCCATCTCCTCCTGCCTGGTCTCCATGTGCATCCTCACCCCCTGCTCCAGAATTGGCCAGAAGGACCCACGTAAAACTTGAATCCTATCACATCATTTCTCTGCTCAAAACCTCCAAAGCCAGAATGTAAACTTCTAACAGGAAGGCTTGTTTTTGTGTTTTTAAATTCACTGTGATAGCCCCTCCTCAGGGCCTAAACTGGCACATATTAGGTGTCCAATAAATATGTACTATGAATCCAAAGCTGGGTATCTCACTTACAATAATATTCAAAGCCCTCTACTACATTCTGAGCTTTGTCTCCTAAAAATCTCCCTCTAGCTCACCTGCACCAACAGGTGTTATAGTTGACTAAGACTGGGGGCTGGGGAACTCTGCTACTTTTGGGCACAAACTGTGTAACCACTGGGAAACTGATCTACCAGGTCTTCAGTCTCCTTATCTGAAAAGCAAAGAGATTAGTTTATTCCCATGATGTAACTAATTCATTGGGGGTTGTGAGGATTAAGTGAGATTGATTATCCTCCTGTCTGACATGGAATAGACATTCAATAAATGAACTGCAAAACTACCTAATGGATAGCCAAGCACACAGCCCATGCTTTTACCCCTAGAGAGAAAGGGCACCTAAATAGTCAGAGAGGAAGTTCTTCCAAATGCATTTGAATATCTGCTGAAGAAGAATCCTGACGTGCCCACTGCCTTCTCCACAGAAAAACCACCTACTATGTTCACAGCACACACTTAAAACTGTTGTCACAGAAAGAAATCAAATCATTATAAAGATCACAATCTCTGGTTTCTTTTCTTTAAATGAAACATAGTCAATTTTATCACAATCGCCCCAAATTTTATATTCCATATGTTAATTGTTCCTAGATTGAATGTCACCCTTTATATAATGCTTTTGTTAAATTCATCTTTTATAATTTTTTCTTTACAGTTTTTCAGTAGAAGCCAGAGTCTTGAGTTGCCCAGTTAGGAGCCTCTGACCTACATTTCTAATTAATCTTTGGTTTCTTTAAAAGAAATGTGCTTAATGTCAATTTAAACCAAATGACATTTTGCTTACAATGTAGAAAAAAAGAAAGGATAAAGTAAATGAGAATTTGGAACATCTTTTAAATCCGTATCTCTGTACCTACCAAAAAAATAAAAAAGCACCACATTATTGAAATGATAGAATTTTCCAAATAAGAATAAAGGGACCATTAACACAAGTTAGAGAAAATTCAATTTTAAAAAGCAAATGCCCTGAATCTCTATAGATTTGGTGTTTCACTTGAAAATCATAATTGCACGGGATTCATCTCTCTCACATTTCAAAGCAGCCAGATGGCCAAATACGTTGTTATTAAGGTAATAAAGAAGTAATTGGTTGGAAGTGAAGAGGAATGCTAACGTCTCCAAACAACAACAGCATAGCTGTTGGTGCACAGCTGCCCCTAGGAAGACAAACAGAGCCTCCTGCGAGCCCCTGAGAAGGTCAGAACCTGTCAGCACAAAACATCAGCACTCACTTCGCACTGCGAGCAGAGGGCCTAGCTGAAGAGGCCAGGAAATCAGTGAATTAGCAAATACCTGACAGAGCTCCAAAATCACTCAGACATTATTCGAATTGTTCCCCAAACTAAGAGAAATGTATGGAACTTCATTCAACAAGACCCTGAATCTAGTGTGGAGTTTGGGCCTCCAGGCCACCTGAATCCACAGATGGCCAGCATGGGGGACAAACAGGCATTGGTTGTGGGATCTGAATAAGCACTGTGTGTTTTCCTGATTTGCCAGTTCTTGCTGTGCGACATTAGATTACTTAATCTTTCTGAGTCTCAATTTCTTCATCTATACAATAAAGATAAATTGCTTCAAAGCATTGTAAAGAAAATTAAATAAGGCAAGGCAAAGGTATTTCAATTACAGTCCCTGACACACAGTAGGTTTTTGGGAACTGTTTATTAGCTTCTCTCTTCCTCAGTTCACACAACTTTCCAACCTCTGCCAGGGGGTCCTGTGGGAGAACTAGGAAAGAGGCACATTCCTCAGTCCTCCTCCTCGGGAGCCTGAGAACATCTTTGTTTATACAGGATACATACCCAGCCAAGAGGAAAATACAAATTTTATTTAACTTGTTGAAAAGCACAAACTCATTCACTATGGAATGCTTCCTCATCGCAACAGAGAGCATACGCAAAGCCAAATAATTAGAAACAGGCTCCTCATTTTAAAAGTAGGGCCTAATCAGATTTTTTTAGTTTCTGGAGAATGTCCAAAAGCTTTATAAATGTGAAAATTGAGCAAAGTTGATATAGGATATTTATATTTCTTAAATATAGATATTTATATTTCTCAGTTAAAAAGATAGATTTTAGTGTGTATCTCAAATTCAAAGGTAAAAATGTTAAGTATATAAAATAATGACAATAATATAAAAGCTAAGAATTTTAAGAATATAGAATAACAGTGATAATCATAAAGAAATCACAACAATAGCAGCAAAACAAAGTAACATGAGATCCATTGTAAGGAATTTGTTTTGTTGTACAACTGGGGTGCTAGACTCGGCAGGATACCTGCCTCACAGCTCTGGCCTCTGCTTTTGTGCTAAACAGCACCAGCCCAAGGCAGGACATGAAAGAAAGTCTCAGGACAAGGTGAGAGGGAGAACGCTGGTCTTCCTGACTGGGAGTCAGGTCTCACTGAGGTTTTGTCAGAAGATGGGCAACCTGCTCCCCCACAGATATGTAGAAACTGCCCAGAGATCCCTTGACTTCTTGGAATTTCTATTTAGAACTGAAGGGAGTACGACAAACATTTACAGCATCATGGTTTTCCTCTAAAACACACAAAATAATGTGTCCAAATTTTGTCTTTGTTTACGAAATGGCATATATCTGGATTTCATTTTCTTGAAGAGAGTAATAATGCCACTGGGAAAAGACTGTGAGAAAAGGTGAAAACAATCTATTTGGACTTTATTTTTCATTATTATCAAATTTAAAGGTAAGAAGGCTGGGAGGTCACTATCATTAAATCAATAAGTTGAAAAGATTAGTTGATTGTCTTACACTTGGATTGAGAGTGGGGCAAAGCAAAATAAATTCAGGTTAATCCATCCTTGTAGATAGCTTTCCCAAATCATGAATTCTAAAGAACACTATTTGCTAACAATGTGTCTTGACTTAAACATTCATTTGCTTCTCAGTTTCAACCCTCCCAGAATTATGTATGAGTCCTGTTCTCCCTTCTGTGATCTAAATCTGCAGACAAAACACAATTTTCTCGTATAGCAAATATACTCATTTTCAACATAAATGCACTAGTTCATAAATACATTTGTGGTACAGCTCTCCTTTATCAACA